AAGATCAGCCCTGAGCTAACATCCATGCTAATCCTCCTCCTTTTGCTGAGGAAGACCGGCTCTGAGCTAACATCTATTGCCAATCCTCCTTTTTTTTTCCCCCCAGAGCCCCAGTAGATAGTTGTCTGTCATAGTTGCACATTCTTCTAGTTGCTGCATGTGGGACGCCGCCATGGCGAGGCCGAAGAAGCGGTGCGTCGGTGTGCGCCCAGGATCCAAACCCGGGCCACCAGCAGCGGAGTGCGCGCACTTGACCGCTAAGCCACGGGCCGGCCCTCAAGTGATTTTTAAATAGTAGTGGAGGCCTCCTCTGCCCTGCCAGTCATCAGGCATCCCGCTGCCCCTCACACCTGAGCTCAAGGCTCCAGAGGCGTCCGCCCCACCCCCACAGACGCGCTCCCCACCCAGTGATGGGCCCAACAACTTCCGTGACATCAGAGTTCCTGTCCCCAGGGCCAGCGGGGCCAGGCTCCTGCTGGTCTTCTCCCATCAGCCCATCCCCCGGGTTCCTGCCCACCCATCCTTTCACGTGGTGCACACTGTCTGTCGCCCAGCTGCTGGAGGTGCTGTGAGCACGTGACCCTCAGCTGGCAGCCCCTTCGGGGACTGCTGCTGCAGAGCCACCATGCCCCAGGCCACACCCAGCACCTGAGGGACGCTGAGGTCTAAAGGCCTGACCATTCCAGGCAAACTCGGCTCTAAAGGGCCACTGTAGCCCCAGAGCGCCCCGAGGGTCCCCAAGGTTGCCTGTTGGGCCTGCATCAGAGCTCCACGTCTCCCTCCAGCCGTCCTGCTTCCTTCCCTGCTGTCCACAGGCGAGGCCTGAGGACCACCCCCTGCCTGCACGCTAATCCCCATGTCCATTTCCTGGGACCCTGACCTGCCCCACCCGCCCAGTCCCCACCTTCCCACCCCAGGCACCAGGCCCCTGGCTGAAAACCAGCCACAAAGTGCCCACAGTGCGTGGGTCTAGTGCTGGCTGATGGGTTTTCTTCATTTGGCTTTCCAGTACCTTCCAAATTTTCCACAACGAGCACATATTACTTTGGTAACAAAAAATAATAAAAGCTTTTTTTTTGTCTTTAAGAAAAATGTAAAAGCAAACCAAGCGGCCCTCCTCCACCTGGCACACCCACTCCTCCCCCATCCCTCCCACTTGCTTCCCCAGGGAGGACTCCCCCCAGATCAGGGAACCACCCCAAACGCTCTCCCCTGTCCTGCCAGGCCCACAGGCAGTTTCACTTCTCCAGTGAAGACTTTCCACCACCAGCTTGTCCTGGCTGGGGGGTTATATGCAAATTTAAGAATGGCTTCCCCATCTCCTACTGGGAGAAGAAAAATGCTGTGTGTCCGGAGATTGGTGAGGAGAGAAAGTATATGATGGGACCAATAAGCATTCACTCATTCTACAAGTACCAGCTAGGGCGACTCTGCGCCAGCGCTGGGGACGCTGGGAACAGGACAAGACCTTGCCCCTGTGGACTTCACAGCCCCAGGGTGAGGGAGGGGGATGGGGGCCAACAATCAAAAGGCCCAGAGGATTCTGAGTGAGGGAGGTGGGTGAGGTGTCGGGAGGGAGGGTGCATGGTCAGGGCTCCCAGCCCAAGCCTGAAGCTTCTGGGAGGAAAAGAAGTCTCCGTGACCCCTGAGGGTGAAAAGGAACGTGTAGGGAGGAGAGGGGAGAGTGTTCTAGGCAGGTGAACAGCCTATGCAAAGGCCTGCAGGTGTCAGAAGCATAACTTATTGGAGGAACTGAAAGCAGTTCAGAGCAGCTGGAGGGCAGAGGGCGGGTGAGAAGGGAGAGGAAGCCCAGGCTTGGGGACAGTGGCAGGGACACTTTAGGGAGACTGCACTTTGTCCTCAGGGCAAGGGGGAGCCATTGAAGGATGCAGAGCAGGAGAGTGACAGACTCAGATGTGCATCTTATAAAGACCACTCTCCTGCTCAAGGATACCCATTGATATGGGTGCTATTATTCTGAGCATCCACAACGGTCACAGTCACACTTAATCACGCACATACTACCGGTCACAGTCACACTTAATCACGCACATACTACCGTGCAGGAACTTTAGCACAGAGTACCTGAAGCCTCTATCTCCACGGAGACAGCAAGCCCCCAGCAGCTAGGTCGATAGCCCTCTTGCTCTTGCGATAGGGAATACAGGTTAAGAACATGGACTCTGGAGCCTGGGTTCAAATCCTAGCCCCTCCGCTTCCAAACTGTGTGACCTTGGATAGATAACCTCTCTGTGCCTCGGACTCCTCATTTATAAAGTGGGTGCAATAACAGTACATACCTCACTGGGCTACTGTGAGGACTGAATGAGTTAATACATGAAAAATAGTGGGAACAGGAGCTGGCACATGACAACTGCTTCGGACTGTTAGCTTGTACTGTGAGGACTGCTCCCTGCCCTCAAGGCCCCCAGGGCCAACTACCTGCAGGCACTAACTAAAGCCTCCACCACCCGCCTCCCTCCACCCCTGAGGCACCTCTCCCTTATCCCTGAGTCTCTCCAGCACTAGGGGCGAGGCCAGAGCCAGAGAGGAGGGACCGCTGGGTTCTAGGACAACCAGGCACTCTGACCTGGGTCTGTGGCCCAGCCGCAGCACCCTCGAGCTGGACCTGGAGCGCTGGACCTGGAGCCAGGAACTGAGTGCCGCCCTGGCTCTCTGTAAGACGAGGACAAGAGCCTCTTGCAGATGTCCTATCAGCTCGGGCTGGGAGAGAGCTCTGCAAATGTCCACATCTGGCACAGACCCAGGACCTGCGGTGGCAGCCTCTTCTGGCCTGGGTTTGCACCTCCACACGGAGTCATGCGATTTGCTCAGAACTCGCTATGAGGACCCAGAGGCTGAGCATGCCCTGGCTCAGGCCTTCCCAGACTCCCTGAGGCTGACCTGGACTTCCCCAAGGTCTGCACAGAGACAGAGACCCCTGATCTGAGCTGAGCCAGGGAGAAAGCGCCAACCCAGAGGCCTGAGGAAAGCCACACCTTCACCTGGGGCCTTCCGCCAAGCCTGGACCAGGCCAGGGCACCCACACCAGGGGCCCAAAAAGACCGTGTGGAGCCATCGGGACTGCGGCGTTTACCTCCAAATGCCACAGGTGCCCGTGAGTTCCAGGTCCAGGAAGGGCCTAAATGGGACTGTTTTTGGTGGCTCTTTGGTCTTGGGGTGCGGAAGAAAAGCCCAAGAGGGGTCTCAGCCCCATCCTTCAGGTTGCCAGCTATTTCCCAGAGTTCAAGTTCATTCATTCACTCATTCCACAAACATTTACTTGGTGCCAGACCCTGGTCAGGTGCAGGGTCAATGGCAGAAATGAATCAGACAGATTCCTACCCTGAAGGCACTTCAGGTCTAGAGGGCGACAGACAAGACATAAATAACCAAACCACAGGCAGACTAGGTGGGAGAAGGCAGGGCAGGAGGCAAGGATCTCACCTGGGCTATCAGGGAAGCTGCCTGGAGGGGGTGGCTTGTGAGTGATGATTTGGACCAGTGATGTGATGGGAAGGCCAAGTAGGTGAGGGACAGAACCTCCCAAATCATTGACAGACAGTTCTGTTTGCACCCCGCTGTGCCAGAGCCAGGGCAATGTGGGTTATTTATGGTTGTGCCCAGAGAAAAGCGGCCACATGTGTCACTGCACGTGGGGTGCAGAGCAGGGTGGGGGGTGGGAGGAGCTGGGGCTTGAAGCTGGGTCTGGCCAAGCCCTGGGGTTTGCCACTGTGTCGCTCACACCCTGATGACCTTTTAAGCTTTTCACCGCCTCCTGCAAGGGAGAAATAAGGGAGAGAGATAGCTCCAACAGGCAGCGAGGGGCCTGGGGGGTAGAGAGGAGGGCAATGCCAGACAGACCACGGCTTCTGCTGTGTCTGGGGGCCGCGTAGCGTCACCTCCTTCTCCTCTCACCGCTCCCATCCCAGCTGTGGGGGAAGGGGTAGAGGAACAGAAGAAATATCTTTAATTGTAAACCAGACAGGGGACAGAGCGCATCAGCTGCTGGGTTTCTCCCCAGCCCACTCTGATCCATAAATAGCCTACGCACCAAGCTGGCGCCAGCCCACCCGCCCTGCTGCTACCGGAACACCCCAGGCCAGAGACTCGGACCCCCAGGTCCTGGGTCCCAGCTTCCCAAGGAACCTATTTCCTGCGTTTTCCCCAGGGTAAAAGCCTCCGTCGCCAGCTCCCTCTCCCAAGGGTCCAAAGCAGGGGCATCCTGGCACAGCCCGGGTGATGCCCGAGAACCCCGGCGCTTGCAAAGCACCTCGGGCCTGGGTTTGCACCTCCACACGAAGGAGTCATGAGATTTGCTCAGAACTCGCTATGAGGACCCAGAGACTGAGCATGCCCTCGCGCGCTCACCTCTCTCCAGGTAACTGTCCAATCTCCCCCCCAACCCCGACGCTCCGGCAGGGAAGACGTCAGCCTCTGCGCCCACCGCGAACACGCACTCCCTAACTGGACCCCTTCCTCCCCGCCTTCTATCCAGGGCCAGACCCCCTACCTGGGGGCAGGAGCGCCCGGCACCATCGGCGGCGCCACGGGGCAAAGCGGGGCGTCTGGGGCCCGGCCTCAAGCCCGGACGACTTCCCGCGGGAAGAGGAGGCTGTGCAGCGGCCGCCGCCACCGCGTCTCTCCGGCTCGCGCCGGGGCTGCGGGAAGGAGGAAGGTCAGAGCCGGGGAGGAGGGGGAGAGGAGGAGGAAGGAGGCGTGCACAGATGGGCGCAGATTAGAGAGGCATTTTTAGCCAGCCAATGGCAGCGGGCGCAGGGAGGCGCGTGTCTGCGCAGGTGGACGCGCCGCGGCGGCTGAGGAGGCAGCAACCCGCTTAGCAGGCGCCGGGCGTGGGTGTGGGGCAGAGGGGGCGCTCCCCCAGCTCCCAGGCCCGCGCCCTCCTCCGGGCGGTGCTCCCGGAGGGCAGAGGGGCTCTGCGGCGGGCGGGTGCAGAAGCACCTGCCCTGCGCCCTCCTCCCCAGCCCTCCTGCAGCGCGCTGTGGACCCGGGGGTGCCGCTCCCCTCCCCTCTCTGCCCTCTCGCCGCCTTCTTGGACATTCCTCCGGCCTTGTCTGTCCGTCAGTCGCTTTCTGGCCTCTCCTAATCCTGCATCTTCGGGTCCGTGCGGTTGCGTGTGTGTGGGCGTGCTCTGGAGTGACGGTCCCTCTCCACCACTACCACCCCCCGCCTAGCCCCCCCCCATTAGCTTCGTCCAGAAGTGCCCGATTGACCCCATGGGGGCATTCACTAACCCTCCTGCCCTAGTTCCAGCTGGACCTGCTGTCACCAAGACAGACTCCAGGCCATCTCCTTGAGGCTCTCTGGGGGGCTTGTTGTGACTCCCAACGGCCTTCACTCTTCCCGCCTTGAACCCTGAGCGCTTCTGGGAGCCTGGACCCTGCAGGGGGGAGTAGGCCAGTCTCTTCACTGCAGAAACCTGGTAGGAGCTGATGATTTGTTCAACACTCGTCTGTTGAGGGCCTACTATGTGCCGGCACTGGGGAGGGGCTGGGCTACAGCAGAGTACAAAACAGACCAAGTCTCTGCCCTCACCTAGTTCACGTTGGTGAGAGAACGCAGATGTTAAATATAATAAATAACGTAGAGAGGATATTTTAAAGTGGTCTGCACAGAGTGGGAAAATAAAGGTAGAAAAAAGACAAGAAAGTGAGGGTGGTCAGGGCGAGATTAGGTCCCAGCCATTTGTGGGGAGTGAGGGTGGCTGAATTTGATGGTAAACCCCTCAGGTAGATGTGCAGACTAGTCGGCCACAGACCTCACCACTCCCTATTGTTGGCACCTAGGCTGGTCACACATTTATATTTCCTGTCCTCCCTCTCCCTCCTCCCTCACCGGAGGCACTGAAATTCATGGTCCCAGTGACCCAAGAGAATGCCCAAGTGCAGCATTTATTCACTCAATAAGCATTTGCCGAGCACTGACTGCATACTAGGTGTTAGAGCCCAGAGGAACTCGACACCTAGTTGGGGAGGCCAGATGAAAGTATCTACCCCAAGGATGAACAGGACAGCCAAGCGAGTGGTCAGTGTTCCAGAGAAGGTCAGAGGGCTCTGGGTTAGGGTCATCCAGGAAGGCTTCCTGGAGGAGGCATCATTCTGATGGGGATGCTGAACAATAGCTGGGGTTCTTTTTTTTTTTTTAATTTTATTTATTTATTTTTTCCCCCAAAGCCCCAGTAGATAGTTGTATGTCATAGCTGCACATCCTTCTAGTTGCTGTACGTGGGACGCAGCCCCAGCACGGCCGGAAAAGTGGTGCGTTGGTGCGCGCCCGGGATCTGAACCTGGGCTGCCAGCAGCGGAGTGCGTGCACTCAACTGCCAAGCAACAGGGCCGGCCCTAGCTGGGGTTCTGATGAGCCAGATGGGGCAGGAGGCAGGGAAGGATTACTGGGAGAGGCCAGCAAAGCCAGGGGACGTTTGGCAGGTGGCTGGGACTGGGGTCCTGGAGCATTTCTGGACACCCTCCATGTAAGGGGCATGCTGGTGTCGAGCTGTCGAGTTGGTGTCCCCCTCTATCCCCACCCCGGAAGTTGCTGGTGCCAGCTGCCCTCACCTCAACCTGGAATTTCGCATTGCCCCAGGAGGAGAAGTGATGGGCATACAGGAGGAAAAACATCGACTTCACGCAGTTGCTTGTTTGCTGGGTAAAAGTGGGTATGTTACTTACCCCCTCTGAGGTTCAGCCTCCTTATCTTAATAATTGTGTGACAAGTTCCTTAATCGATCTGTGCATTTGGAAAATGGAATGGCAACAGCACGTACCTCACAGGCTGTGTGAGTGTTACACAAGACAACCCAGGTGAACTGCTTAGCACATAAGTACCCAGTTCATTTTGTTGTATTTATTGTATTTATGGTGATAATTACGCTTGCCTCCTAGGGTTCTTGGAATCAGACAAAGGATGCAAGGCCCCTAGCATGGTGCCTGGAACCTAATAGGTGTGCAGTAAATAGTATCTATTATTCTCATTAACTACATGCACCCCCAATCTCTCCCCTTTTGGTCTACCACAGCGCTGTGAAATTCCCATTAGACAGAATTTTCTTAATGTGAAGAGGCTAATTCCCCAAGAGGCTCTTAAAGTGCAATCTAGGATGGATAGACTAAAATATCTGCACCACCCCCCACCGCAGTACATAGGCCTGGCTCAATGTGTCATCAGGGGCTGTGATGTAGATGGATTGGAGCCCGGGACTGGTAAATTTTGGAAAGGCAGTGAAGTCCAGATCACAAGACAATGACTGACATAGGACACTAGGTGTCCCTTGGCAGCCAGGCATTGGTGGAGGATGGCAAGAGTGGGAAGGGTACAGGCGTACAGGGGATGGGCTCATAATGCGGAGGGCTAAGAGAGGCTGGAGGGTCACAGAAGCTGGGCCCGCTTGGGGCAGCTGTGGGGAGGGCAGGAGAGGGGCAGACCCGTTGAGGCAGATGATGGTGAGGGGGTAGGGTTGTGGGGAGAAGGGGTGAGGGAGCAGAACGCTGGACTTACTCCATTTGAAGCTGAGGTATGCCTGGCATTGAATTAAGGCCTTACCAGACCCAAGCCCTGAAAAAAAAGAGAGTGGAAAATACACACACACGCAAACACATCCCCCCTCACATCCCTGCCCGTGTGTAATCCAAAAAATATGTCATATGTTATTATGGAAATTGACACAGAACTTCCATGCTTCCTAAAACTAAACTAGCTTCCATCTAGATTTTCTGATTTCAAAACTTATGTCTATCAAAGCTAAATACCCCCCTTATTGTTTTGTGCCCCGTCCAGAGAATAAGACTTTCTCCCATTTGCCCAGCACTTTTCACATCTCTTATCTCCAACAACTCGCTTTTCTCAGTACCATTAAGTTCTGACCCATCTGGGATTCCACGGCACCTTCCTTCCCACCGAGAGTCCCAAGCCATCCTTCGATCGGAAGCCTCCCCTGCTGGACTCTCCGTGTCACGCAGAGCAAGGAGGCAGACACAGCCCTCCCCTTCTGTCCTATGCAGACAGGACAGAAAGGACATGTAGACAGGAGGACAGCCCAGCCCTGAAGGAGCACGTGGAATCAATCAATCAATGATCAAATAGCGGATTGGTGATTAATATCTCATGTTTAGCCTGGAAGAGGTGGAGGGAGGAAGGGAAGCTTTGGATTCCCTTTTGTTCCATCTGATATGGAAGGCTTCAAGGAGGAGGTGAGGTTTTGAGGCTTCTCTATTCTCACCACATCTCTGGTTGGAAAGGAAGGGCAGTGAGTGTGCCCTGATTTGGGCAAAGCAGAACTCTGAAGCCCAGAGAGGAAAAGTGACTCGTTCAAGGTCACACAGTGCGTTGGTGACAGAGCTGGGCTAAAAACGGATCTCCTGACTTCTGGTCAGGTGCTGTGGTCACTAGACTCCTCTACCTCCCCCGCAAACCTGCCCCGAGGTGGGGAAGGATGAGCAGGGAAGCGATTGGCCCAGGGGCCCCATGGCATTTTGTTTTCTGAGCTGCCCCCCAGCAGCATGCACAGAGGTGAGTAGGACACCCCCAAGAGACAAAGGTACTTTAAAAACAGCCTCGCAGCCCCTTCTGCTCTCTCCTTCTCTTCCCACCTGCTGGCGTCACACTTGCAAACTGGTCTCCGTCACCTGCCTAGTGGACAGAGGCTGTTGCCAGCTGTGCGCTGAATCCAGAGACCTGGGTGCTCCGAGTCTGGGAATTGTGGCTTTCTCTGTCCGTGACTCATGCCAAGGGGGTTAAAAACACCCTGAGGACATATCATCCTGACAAGGCCCTCAATCTTGGGAGGTGCTGAGTTAGGACCCAGACTATGCTCAAAAGACGGGTCACCCCAGGACATACACAGACAATGGCAAACCCAGAGCACTTTTCTTGGACCAGGCACTTTCTAAGCACTTTACACATATAAGCTATGGGGCTAGGTACGACTACTAGCCCTGTTTAAGACAGGGAAACTAAGGCCCAGAGAGGTTAGGTAACTTGCCCAAGGTCACACAGCTGGTAAGTAGTGGAGCTGGGATTCAAACCCAAGCAGTCTGGGTCTGAAAGGCATGCTCTTGATCACTCAGCTAGGAAAGAAGCATGTGTTTACTGAGAGTCGTACTGTGCACAGGAGGATTTTACATGATCTCATTTAGTACCATTACCCCCATTTTACAGATGAGGAAACTGAGGCTCAGTGGGTCCTTTGGTGACGCCTCTCAAAGTACAAAAAGGGAGGACATTTGAGGTTGTCCTTAGAGTGTCTGCTCTGGAAAGGCCTCAGTGGCCTGGACACCATTGCCACCTAGTGGCGCTGTACCTTAAATGCAGGCAGAACACCTGAGACAATGGCGAGGGTCGAGTTCAACATCCCACAGAGATTTTGTGTTTTGGTTTGGTTTTTAATTCCTGTGTCTTGAGCAATAGAGAAGTGTGGTTCACTAATAATAATCTTTCATACTGAAGACATGGTCGTGGGCAGAGTTCACCATTTGTAATGTCAGCCTGTAAATTAATACCTGGAGGAGGGGAATCTGTGTGGTGTGCTGATTTTTAGTTTTCCGAGGGCTTTCACACACAATGTCTCTTTTGACTCTCACCACGCCTGGTATTACTTTGACTCCCACTTTTGTTAATGAGGAAATGGGACTCGTCAAGGGAGCATTGATTGAGTTGGCGTTGGAACCTAACCCTGGCGGCTCCAGAACCTGG